TGGAGTTTGGCAGCAGGGTGACGTCACTTCTCCGTGACTGTATTTTGAGAGTCCCCCAGATGGAGCATATCTTGCCCCGCCCTTCTTCTTTCCATCAACCCCCCACTGTCATTTTCGGAAGGATTGGATAACGGCTATTCTGTGTGCTTGTCAGGGTGGCCTCACGTCCCAGAGAGACTGAGTCACAGTTACGCTCTCTCAGCCCTCAAGCGTTTGGAAGAAGACGAGCGGAGACAGCCTCGCCTGCCTTGAAGCTTCTCTACCACCAACTCCACGGCCGAACAAGTTCACCCAGGGCCGGCTGAGCTCAGACGCAGAAAGAACCATCCCAGATGCCTGCCCAGCGTGTGCAGGACGTCCACTACACTTTTACACCCGCACGCTGACCCACAACCTGAATGACTCCCTCACCTCTCACCCTGGACAGCAGCTGGGTCACTCGGCCACTCTCTGGCCCTGGTCGTGGGGAGCCAGCACGGTGACAAATTCACACGTGAACCTGGGTTTCTGCTCACCCCAAGAGTCAGAGATTCTGAGCTCTGACCCTAGCTAAGGAGGAACCTCGCTGGGCCCTAGCCACGGGCAAGCTTTGCTCCTGGACCCTGTTACAGCTGGACGCCGGAAGTCCAAAGATGTAGACGCAGGCCACTGAAGCAACCGTCAGACTGTGTTCCTGAGTGAATGCGGCCCGGTCTGACCTGCGGGCCGGGCCGTGGTGATATGGTTTACTCCTGGCAACGCAGGCGTTTCTCTCTTAGCTTTCCAGGAAGGCATCCTACAGGCAGGCCCGAATCAGAGCTGTGAAGAACCCCGGCCCCTAACACCATCTGCACAAAACCAGGTTCCACACGGCACCACACACCTTCCATGTTGTCCCATGATCATCCCAGAGCAAGAGTGGTGCAGACTCAGATCGACCTTACTTCCACACCTGTCTCTTTCTAAGCCCTGCCTCCACATCCAGGTGCAGTGTTTCTATCAGAGCGGCTTGGGGGAAGGGCACCACCTGTCTGTCTTCTTTCCTGTCCCCCTCCAGCACTGAGCCCAGGCCGACAAGGCCCAGGGGTGGGTGGTGGGTGGTGGGTTAAATAAACGCCAAGGGCTTGTTTTGGGCACTCGGGCACAGTGAGGAATAAGGTAGTGGGGTATGGGTGCAGAGCACACAGGGACCGACACAAGGTGTACATGTGGAGGGCACACACGTGGTGGGGCACAAATAAAGGCAGACATGGACTGAGGCAGTGATCTCCATGCACCCTGGCACTGACCACTACAGTGCACATGTCACAGAGGCCCTGACACTGACCAGTACCGTGGACAAGTCAGACGCCCGGCAATGAGTAACAGTGGATACCCACAGAGGCCACGACGTACGCCTTCCCACAGGGCTGGTTTGCCGTGGCTCATTGATCAGAGGCTCTCATAAAACCAGCAAACCCTTCACATAGGGCACACGTGAGCGAGGAGAGAAAACACGGCTGTCTGCTGGGGAGAGGGGTTAGGAGAATCAGAGCAGAGACAGAGGGAGTGCTGTCACTCAAAACCCACACGGAGCCAAGCCACCAAGTGTCTGTCAAGACTACAAACCCCCACTCTCTGGCCAAACACCCAACTCTCTCTCTGGCTGAACTCCCACTCTGGTCATTGCAGTTTCCTGGCCTCGCCAACCAGCCTGCTGCTCATGCCTCCAACACCAGGCTCCTTCCTGTTAGTGGTGAAGCAGCAGTAGGAGTGAGGCTCAAGGCCACATGCTCTTCAGAGGGAGCTGAGCCGTGCCCCCCCAAGGGGGGAGGGGCAAATGAAGAACCCCAAACCCAGACTCAGCCAGATCTGCTGGAACCACAGTCCATAGCCCAGACATGCCCCCAATGGCCTGTTCACACCCACAGTCAGGAACTCACTCCTGCACACATGTGCACACACACACTCATGCATGCCTTCACTCACATTTTACACTCATCTATGTATGCACACATGAAGACACACGTGCACCCACTCACCCCCAATCTTACATACATACACGCACATGCACCCCTACACAGACACACAACTGCGTGTGTATCCACTTGCACTTATTCATGCCCTGCATGTACACTCAGACATGCACACCTACACTCATCAATGCATGACTCAGGTACATGTATACCCATGCTCGAATTCAACATTCATGCACACATATCCACTGCACACGCACACCCACACTCAGTTATTCATGTACACCCCCATTCATCCCTGCACGCACATATAACACACATTCAGGTACACTCTTAACACACACACACACACACACACACACACACACACTCAGGAAACCCCCCCAGAGCAGCTGGGGATAACTTGAGGGCCATCCAGGGAGAGAGGCACATGGCAGTACATTTCAACCTGTTTGAGAACCGTCCCTGTCTGAGGCGTGCCACAGGAAGGGTCATGAGGATTCAGTGTGAGGTGTCGCCAGGGCATCTGACTGCCACACAGTGCAGCCATGACCTGTGGGCACCAGAGATGGCAGCTCTGTGGTTCCTGCCTCTCTCTCACATCGCTAGAAGCTCGGCAGTCTAGAGGGAGGTGTACTGGGGACACCAAGAGCTAACCCACAGGGCCAGGTGGTCACTCTGTGAGGCATTCACTCACACAACCACCTGCATGGCAAATGTAGCTGCAGCTGGCCCACCAACAGCCAGGCATGGCCGGGCTCCAGCTAAGCCGTGCCTTCCAAGACGGGCGCCGTCAGCTGCCAGCCCCGGAGCCACTCGGTGAGACTCTGACGCCTGAGTGACCTGGTCCAGGGCCCGCCTCCACGGTGACTCAGCCCCCAGGCTGGCCCCAGCCCTCTCACTGGACAGGAATCAGAGCTGTCAGGGCTCTGACACACGCATGGTCTCCGCGCCTTATTTACCAAGGGCATATACCTCCAGGGGAACAGCTGCAGGACTGGGAGGCAAGAAGAGGCTGTGGTTTCATTTTCGTCCTTTGCTTTTAGGTTGTTTGAGGAGAGAACATCAAAAACGTTCGTGGAAAGATGCCATCTTCTAATCCCACGGACCAAGGAATTTTTAACATGCCCCCTTCCCCGCCAGTCTTCACAGGCTTATACACGGATAGATGATTTGCGCCTGGTCAATTCTGACTCACAGCAGCCCGGCCCCGCCTGCCTTTCCCTTTGCAGCATTTAACCACTGCACCACTAGGGGCTCCAGGTCCCCAAACAAACTAAAACCCAAACACCCTGCACCAAATCAATTCCAACCCAGAGGGACCCCACAGGGCACTCCCTTTGGATTTCCGAGGCCTCACTTTTCTCCCAAAGAGCAGCTGGTGGTTTTGAACAGCTGACCTTGCAGTTAGCAGCCCAAGTCCTAACTACTTCACCATCACACTGCTGGAACTCCCTGTGGTTGGTTCACAGGGAAACAGGCTTAGCAGTCTGACCCCCAGGGTGGGGCATCAACCCTGCAGAACGCCCCCCAGGGGCAGGTGGGTGGATCAGGCGGGCCTGCGCCTGCTCTTTCAAGACAATACAGGTATATATGGACACCTGTGCCCATTGGACCTTGAAGATGTCACCACCTTTTCCCATATAACCTAGACTATGAAGTCAAACGGGTCCTGGGGTGATGACCCCTGGCTGGATTCATGCTGCCCTCAGGGTCCTTGGGCCTCACCGGACACACAGGGTTGTGTTTTGTGGATTGGGTGGGGCTGCAGTGCAGTGCAGGGTCAAGGTCTAAGGCAATGACTTCTGAGACACGGCGGAGGTGCCCTGGGGAAGCAGCTAGGGACAAGGGGTGGAGGGTTTCCCCGGACTCCTAACCTGTAAGCCCCCCAGTGGTGTGTGTGTGTGTGTGTGTGTGTGTGTACCAGGCCAGGTGGGGTGGGGTGGGAGACAAGCAGGGGGAGACCAGGCAGCCAGGTCACGGTGCAGGCGGTGGGTGGGAGGACCCTGGGTGCGGTCACCCTACCACCAGGTTGACTTACTTCCGCCACAGGGCCAGGGGCTGCTCCAATTCCTTCTCAGCGGGTCCCAGCGAGGCCACGAAGGCGAGGGGCCAGGCGAGCAGCATCATGAAGGCGGCAAACAGCAGCCGGATAGGGAAGAGGGTCAGCGTCATGAACGCCATCTGGGGAGACAAGAGGGCATGAATCAGCACGGTCGTCAGGGGCGCCGTTGGGACAGACACCAGCCCCCCATCCTACGGGGAGCATGCACAAGGTATCAGCCCAGGGGTGGCACCCAGGCATAGGGCAGAGTCATGTGGTCTCGGGGACACAGCACACGGAGCTGGCCCAGGGGTCAGCACTGGGCCAGAGGCCACCCTCTACCTCAGTCAATGCTCTGCCCTTTGCTGGTGACACCAGCCACCCTGTAGGGGACACAGACCCAATGAGCCCTCCCAGTCCACGTCCTCCCACTCTGCCCTCCCAGCGACTAGGGGCTTGGGGCTGAGCCAGGCATCTTGCCCAGCGCAGCCAGGGGGCCCTGCCAACACCTGCAGGTGGACGCTCACAGATACCCACTGAGGCCGCCTCTGCAGACCCGCTTAGCCTATGTACCCAAGGGCTGGCTCCCCCAAGGGGCCAAATGACGCCAAGCTGAGGCCTGAATGTGAGGGCAAAGGGACCACTTGCAGCTCTTGGAAGGGGCTGGGGGGAGGACAGGAGCCCTGGACACACGGGCAGATGGACACGGTAGCTCAGCACAGCCGGCAGGGTGGGGGTGGGGGGAGGGGGTAGCTACTGTACTTCCCTCAACCCAGCCTCCCGCACACCGCTGTGACAACGGACATGCTTTGGAGGCATGCCCAGGGGAAGGAAGACTAGGAAGCAAAACCTGGTGACCTGCTTCTGAAAGTCAGCCGACAGGGCCCCTGTGGAGGACAAGGCTCTGCCACGGCCCTCACGTGGCAGGGACGGCCACGTTCCACTCTGCCGAGCACGGTGTCTGGCTGATCAGCCCCATGCGGTCACCACTAGCTCGGGCCGGTTCTGCCGCACGGCTGCCCCACGTGTGCGGGCGGGGCTTTCAAGCTGTGACCTCGCAGAAGGTGGCCTCCAGGACGCCCTCCTCGGGGGCCTCTGGGTGGTCTCCAGCCGTCACCTGTGCCACCAGCGTGCGTGGCATACACCTCCCCACACAGGCGGCCGTTTGGGGATGCTGACATTCAACAAACAAGCAAAAGACAAACAGCCCCTGGCCCTAATTGCCATTTTCAAAGCAACTGCTCAGTGGCTACAAACCTTGTTGTGTGTATTTCGGGGCAGGGTGGGGGGCGTGGGGAGGCTCAGATTGCGGTTACAATCCTGACTAGGGAAGGACCTGGGGACCCGATACCGAGGACTTCAGGTCTCAGCAGGGTGGCAGGTGACTGGCACCACCTGCGGCAACAGCCGTCCTCCTCCTCACTGCCATCCAGTCGCTGCCAACTCACAGCGGGTCACCTTCCTGGCTTGGCTGCTGCTGGCTGCTGTGCTCCTTCAGACCCGCTTCCTACAGCTGCTCTTGTGTTTTGTTTTTATTATTATTATTCTTAATCCTTTTATTGGGGGCCCCTACAACCCTTAGCACAATCCATACGCCCATCCATTGTGTCAAGCACATTCGTTGCCATCATTTTCAAAGCACTGTCTTTCTACTTGAGCCTGCGTTTGTTGTTTAAAAGGCAAACAACTTTATAGGCCTAATTCACATACAACCCAGTTCGATGGTTTAAGCATATTAAAAGGAGTTCTGCAATCCCGATCCCAATTTCAAAACGTTCTTCATCCTTGCACCATGATTAGCCGTCCCTTTTCCCCCACCCTCCCCTGCCGCCCATCTCAGATACCATTAGTCCAGTTACTGTCTCCAGGGATGTGCCTAGAGAAAAACCATACAGGACAAAACAAACAAACAAACAAACCCAACAACAACAAAATAGAATGCGGAAGAAGCTCTGTTGAAAAGCAAGCATAAGAAACACAAATGAGTCCCAAAGGAGACCAAATGCTAAGATGTTGCATTTGAACCTACGAGCAACTCTAGGAGCCTTGGTGGCTGAACCGGGGTACCTGCCGGGCTAACAACCACAAGGTCATAAGTTTGAAATCACCAGCCGCTCCTCGGGACAGAGATAAGGCTTTCTACTCTGCTACAGACGGACAGTCCCTGAAACCGATGGGGCGGTTCTACTCCGTCTTATAGGGTCATTACGAGTCAGCATCGACTCCACGGGAGTGAGTGATTTTCAGTGACCGGAGCCTTGGTGGTGTGAGTTAGCAGTATGAAACCACCGGCCATGTCTCAGGAGAAAGATGGGGCTATCTACTCCGGGGACGAGGACCGTCTCAGAAACTCCAAGGCAGTGAGTCTGAAATAAGCCCTGCTGGTGGTGCAGCGGTAAAGCACTTGGCTGCCCACCCAGCATCTCTATGGGGGATAAAGCCCTGGCGCTCTGTTCCCGGGAAGGTGATGGCACACGCAGGGGCAGGTCGAGGCTGCCGCCTGGGGCAGCAGCTGACTCAGAAAGGGGTGGCCAACACCGAGCTAGAACAACACACCTGTAATATAATCGTCCCACAGCACAAGTCGGACTCACCACCTTGCAGGGCTCCAGGGCTGGACCCTCAGCGGCACCAGCTCGGAGGGTGGCATGGGTCTGCCCGCTGCGGAGACTGTTATTCTCTCTCCCTGGTGGGGGTTGCTGAATGCCCTGGCTGTGCCCCACCAGGCATCTGGTGGATACCCTGAAAGCTGAGTCCTGTCTGTCTGCTGTTGGCAAGTCTGTAGCACTTTGAAATCCGAGCCTTGTTGCAACATTAACTGTTGGGGGATGAGCTCCCTTCCCTGTGCTGGCTTTCTAAGAGTCCTGTTTGCTGTCTGGGAGGGTAGCATCTTACCTGAGGCCCCACCCCCCCCCACCCCCATCTACTGGCATGAGCACATGCATGTTCTCCAGGAATCTGTTAAGTGATGCTCTACGCTCAGAGCTCCTCTGACCTGCGTGAAGCAACCTGGTAGGGAGGAGGCTTGGTAATGGCCTCGTGTTTTGTCTGCCAATGTGCCTGGGCTCAATGCAGTCAGTGTGCAACACTGAACCTCAGTTCCTCACCGCATGGTCTTCCTGGGTTGTGCTATCACTGTGGTGACAATGTGACGATGCTACCTTAATGGCCTCGACCCCACAGCACAGGTTCCCAAACCTACTGGGCCAGCCTCCCCCTTCCCAGAAAATAAATGATCCCGTATCTCCCATTGGCAAATGAAGACCTTCTACTCTAGTCCATCCGCCAGGACAAAGGGCAGGGGGCTCTGCTTCTGCAGCCCCCCTGGACCCAGACGCCTGGGGACAGGTTCGCCCATTATGGGCAACATCATTCTAGAAGTTCTATGTAGATTTCCGACAGCATTTTCAACGTTTCTGAGACAATGGTCAAACTAGATTTTTAGCTTTTCCTTTGTCCATTTTACTACCTCACTGCTCCCCCAACTCCCCTCACCCCTAGTGCCCATCTGGGGTGGGCATCTGTGTTCCTGCGTATGAAGTTGGGCAGTAGACATGCCTCAGAATCTAGACCTTTGAGCTGGGGTTTCTTTCCTCAAGGTACTTGTGCTTCTTGAAACTTTTAGCCCACGTTGGCCAGATAGGTGTCTAGTCTATTACCGATCTGGTCAACAAGCCCTAGTGATGCAGTGGGCTAGGCACTGGGCTAACCGCAAGGTTGGCGGTTCAAGGCCATCAGCTGCTCAGCAAGAGAAACACAGGCTGACTGCACCCGTAAAGATTGACAGCCAGCTCGGAAACCACACAGGGCAGCTTTCCTCTGCCCAGCAGGGTCGCTCTGAGTCAGACTAGTTGGCTGTGGTTTGGTATGCGTGTGGGTGGGAGGATCCTCTTTGGTTCTGTCCACCCTCACCATGGTGACCTGTCCAGCCGCCCTGAGGGATCTCCCACCTCTGGCCTGGACTTTGGAACCCTTTGAAGGAAAACCATAGCTCTAGTTTCAGGCATTCTTTGTCCGTCAGTTACCAGCGCGGGGCCCTGGGGTGGCTGGGGTGCCGGCCCGAGCAGAGCCGGGCAGCCACGATGGACCACGTCATGGAGGGGCCCTACAACCCAATAGGAAGGGTCCCACTGGAATGGGATCCCCAGTGAGCACCCGGGCACTGGGAGGACAGCAAAACCCAGACCGGGCCCTCCAGGGACAAACAGCCATTTCTGCAACAGGCACATTTTATGAAGAGTCAAAAGGAAGAGATGGAAAGGAGACCCTACAGACGACCCCGTGCCTGACCCAAGGCGCGGTGTTTCCTGACGCCTCACATGCACGCGAAAGCTGGACACGGAATCAGGAGGACCGAAGAAGAGTCCGTGCATCTGCGTGCGGGGCTGCGGAAGAGAGTACCCTGAGCTGCCAGGAGGACCGACTGATCTGTCTTGGAGAATGTCTAGCCAGAGAGCTCCTTAGGGACAAGGATGGCAAGACTTCACCTCACATGCTTTGGATAAGTTGTCAGGAGAGACCAGTCCCTGGGGAAGGGCATCATGCTTGGTGACGTGGATGGACCTGTGCCTGCGGCAATGGGCTCAGGCATAGGATCGACGGACGAGGGCACAGGGCGGGGCTGTGTTGTGTTCTGTTGTGCATGGGGTTGTGAGGTTGTCAGAACCGACCCAACAACACCCACAACCACCACACAGACTAATGCATCTTTAGTCAAAGGGACCAACGTGTCCATGTGCAGGCCGCAGGCGGCTGGACGCTCACCAACCGCATAACACACGGAGTCAGGCATTTGAGGAGTCAGAGCGCTGCCCTCCGCCGACCACACCAGTTGGACTCTCACGGCCACTGAGTCAATTCCGACTCATCAGGACCCGAGCCTGCCATCTTGACAGGCACGGAAGGCCTTCTCTTCCTCCCTCAAAGTGGCTCGAGGTTTCAAACAGCTGACCTTGTGGCGAGTGGCCCAATCCCTAACCCACAACACCACCAGGGCTCCCGCTGCTGCTGCGGGGCTGCCGGCGGCGGCCTGTGGCTGCTGCAGTACTTCTCCTTGAGACCCAGCCTGGAGTAGGTAAGAACGAGACAGCACCAAGCCTGGGGTTTGCTTCAAAATAACCTGGGGGTGGGAAGACAGCAG